ATCTAATGATTAGTTCCTTCATTTTATCATGTTCGTCTATCTGTGCAGGAAAACTAAAACTGCACTGTTAAACTTTAAGTCGTCACTTTACGACAAAGTCACAACTAAATTTTACTCTCAAAGGGTTCGTCACAAGTGGTGAGAAGAATGCTTTGTCACGTGACAATCCATTCGTAAGAGCTGGTAAAATAAATGAGTCGTCACATATTGATTTGTCATGTGATGGATGATTCGTCACATCAATCCAGGATTTGAAAAAAAAAAAAATGTTTCGGAAATGGAATTATATATGCTAAATTTAAAAAAAACAAAAAACAATACGTACTTACTGAACAATTTATTATCAAGGACACTGCATTAGTGATTAAAATAATATAGGTGTAACTCTACCTTGAAAATTATGGCGATCTGAAATAAGTTTCTCTGCATGTTCCTTACTATCACATTTATGTTGCAGTTGGAGGGTGTCATACGCAGGCAAATGAATGGAGTCAGTCTTCTGAGGAAAAAATAAGGATTAGAATAAATAAACTACGAAAGTTAAAACAGTTTAACTGCTTACTTGTACCTTTCCCCATTAATAATACTCACCAGTTTTCCTGATATATATAGTAGCAGTCCAATATTGAATGTAAGAGCTATTACAGCAACTTCCACTGACACTCAAAAGTCTTCTTTTTGTTTTTCTTTCTTTTTCACCCTACTTTTTAAAGTGTATTGAAGATGCAGTTTGACATTCCTGTAGATAAAAGACTCAATAAGTTTTCAAAATTTTTAGTAGAATGTAAAGGTGCCACCACAATGTCTTGTTCTTAGTTGGCATTCTAGACAGAAATCTCGGAGACAAGCTTAGATTATTGTTGGGGATACAGTTACTCAGAAAGGGAAAGTGTAACACTTTTTAATAAAGCCCAACTGACGACCAAAAATATATTTTTCTTGAAGTAATAATACTGTTTTACTTAGTTATGAAGCTAAAAATCATAAATTGGCAACCACAGCCAATCAAATTTGTATTATTGGTCGTCAGTTGGGTTCTATTAAATACTACAACACTTAACCTTTCTTAATAACTTGAACCCCAACAAAAATTCTACTTTGTCTCCGAGATTTCTGTCTAGAAAGACAGAAGAAGAGTCAACTTACCTGCATTCTCATTTATGGCAGATATCAGGAGGAAAAGAGAAAGGGTCAATAATAATAATAGCCCATACAGAACTGTAAAAAATGTGACAACTACTCAAATTAAGGAAATAAATAATCTGAATGTTTAAACAATTAACCAGGAGAGAAAACAAACATACCTCTCATTTCCCAACCGTGGCAGTGGAGAAGGTTTTAGACCAGATGATGGAGAAGCACTGATCTTCCTCCATTGCGAGAAAGCCAAAGCCGAAGTTCTCATAAGGCAGCGAGACAAAAATTCAACTAAATAAAACAGACAATAATACCTTTGAATCAAAAAAGAAAAAAATTAGATTGAGCAGCAAAACACCTAGAACAGACCATGGAGGAAGGATAAGACTAAAGAGTACTACTTACACCTAGGAGCTGTAGAGGGAACCAAAGAATAGAAATTCCAAATTGTCAAATTGTTTTCTTTCATAGGAAGTAGGATGTTTTTCCCCTGCTTTTGCCAAACTTTGACTAGGTTTTAGTCTGCTGCAAATTAGAAGGTGGGATAAGTAACTTCAAAATGCAATAAGCATAATTATTCTCTTCAGAAGTAAACCAATGTACATACCTTCATCTATGGAAGAAGTAAGCAAATGTTTTAGTGAGAAGCACTTCTTTCCATAGAAATTGTACACAGACTGACTGACAGGATACTCTAAATCTTTGGCCAAAATACATTTATAGTTGTAGGAAGAACTCATGTCAATTGTATAAAGGCCATATTCAACCCACAATTCAGCTCTATGGATGGAGACAACTATTTTCACTTCACCCTTTTCTACAATTACACACTGAATATAACCAGTCACTATGACATCATGATTTTCTTCCTTATTTCCTAATAAAATCCAGTAGCCTCTCTTGAACTCCACAGAGTCAACTTTACCAGATGAAACTTCTTTAACATGAGCAGATAAGTTCTGTTTAAGAAGGAAGTCTTCCATTTCCTTGCCATATTTACTTTTATCTAAAGGCTGCTGTCCTTCAACAGAAAATCCTTCATCGAAATAACTTCCTGTTGAGAGATAGCAGAAATATAAAGCTGCTTTTTCACTCATCGTGATGCCAAGGTTGATAAAATTTTTGCATGTACGAGCAACTCTCTTGAAAAAAGTGTGGGCACTTTCAAACCTTAAAGTAAAGAGGTGCATAATTGGTCCCATTAATACAATCAAATCAGCATAGTGACTTACAAAATGGTGTTTAGGTTTTGCTTGAGTTTGCAAAATCTCTTGCCTCTGTTGCATGTACTCAGAAATGAGTCCTTTGGCATGGGCAACCTGCTGGAGTGTGACTGATGGAGCACAAACATATTCACATATTTCTTTCAGGGAGAGGTAAAGCTGCCAATGACTATCTGAAGCATCCAATATTCTGTCCTTGCCAATTATGAAAGGGAACAATCTAAAGAGAGTCCAGTTTTGGACTGCATGGCCACCAAGTTTAGTGGCTCTAACTTTCACTGGTTTATTCTTGATATCGTGAGAACTATATTTAAACTTTTGGATAAGCTTGTTTAGACCATTGAGCGTAAACCATCCCTTGCTAATAAGACTTTCTATGACGGGAAAGAAATCATATTCATTTAACATAGCTTCAAAAATATCATGTGCTAAGCATGGGCAAAGACGGGGGTCCATGCTGTTAAACTCTTGCAGACTATTGAAAATACAGTCAGTCTTTACTCCATGGACATGTTCAATGTCGTCTCGACCTTCCACTTTTGCTTGTACGAAAAGCGCTAAATCTTCATTAAAGCTTTCTTTAGTACGAAAAGGTTCTACAACCCAAGGAGTCTCTCGTATATCATTTCTTCCCATTGGGCAAAAGCGACAATAGCTCAGTGCTGTAAAAGACCCGACAAAACCTCCAATTTGATTCTGGCCCTTATTGTCACCAACTAAAAACTGCAGAACAACTGGAATGACTTCACCATAATAATTAATCCCATTTATCTCCAAATCTTTCAGCTCCTCAACTACATGTTTAAAACACTTGTCTCCAAAGGTTTTAAACATTTCCTTAAATTTTGGGATAATCATTACAAGGTTCATAGATTTAAGTTTAGACCGGATGCGAGGAAGCATGTTACCTATCACAAAGTACATGCCAAGTGTATCATATTTTTCAGCTGTTGATCCTAAGTCTTTAGTGGCACTAAAAGCATCTTGAAATATGATAAGATCAATAGTTTTCTTCATGGCTGATTGGCTCCGTTGATATACCATACCATCTCTGTAATCCCGTAGAATGTTTTCATCTCTCTGACCACTAGCCTGTGCCTCAAAGCTCCGATCAATTTGGCGTTTAACAGATGGACATTTAACCAATTCAATTAAAGTTTCACGAATGGAGACAAGGTGGATAGTTCTTGGCAATGTCGGATCTAGAGACAAATTAATTTCAACAGGTTTAATGTACGTGAAATTCTCTTTGTAATATTTCAGTCTTAGCTTTTGTGTAGAAAGGGTAGGTCCTGGAGCATCCTTGGTATGAGCACAAAACATTTTGTCAGCATACAGGACATTAGTTAAAACAGAATCACTGACTTCCTTGCTAATGTTCAAATCTTGCAACTCTTTCAGCAAAACTTTTTTGATAATAGCTAGATTCAAACGTTGAAGGTGGGCAAGACCAAGGGACATGGTTTGCACTGATGATGCGGGCATCATACATTCTGTCTCCATCTTCAGATAAAATTTAGCCAGCTGGTGAAAGAAGTTTTTGGACATAGTGTGGATAATATCAAAGTCGTTTTCTTCATCATCAAACTCTTCTACACTCATGTCACATTCACCTGCACCACCATCATTAACTTCTTGTTCTTGAAAATCCATATTTTGTTCATCACATTCAAAGACTTCACCAAAATTATCATGGAGAACTGGCCGTTCTTGAGGTTCATTATTTTTCCAGCCCACATGTTTTTCAGAGAGGTGGGTTCTGAAAGACGATAATTTCAGAGATCCACTTGTGCAAGTTGGATATGGGCATAGTATTCGCTCACCTTTCTCTTGCCCGTGATAACTTATTAGATGATTACATAAAAGATGTAGAGATGAAAATACGTCAACACAACCTTCAGTAGAACATGACACTCTGCTGGGAGGAACATTCACATCTAATGCTTCATCTTTAGCACTTGTATGTCTCTTCCATATATGATTCACCAACGATTTGTGTGACACAAATATCTCATTTCTACATGATGCAACAGCACAATAATAACTATAATTGCTGTCCATTGAGTGGGAATCTCTCTGATGAGCAGCATTACTTCTTAAAGATGGTGAGATCCTTTCACAATGATTGCATTTGTATTCTGCCGGACCAGGGTTCCTTTCCACATTTCCAATGACCAAGAGAATTGCCAGAATAGCAAACCAAAATGTGAGATGCAGCCTTGCCTTTGCAATTTTGGCTTTAGTACTGCTAGAAGTTCTCTTCTTATAGACTGGATGGCAAAATGTACCAATACATGCTCTCCAAATGTCAGTGGATACACCCATGTTCTGGAACAAAGCAATTTGTTGTACTGATAATTGCAAAATACTACTGACATCTTGCAAAGTTAGGTAAATTTAAGGGAAAAAAAAACTTACGGCAAGTAAAACTTCAATCCGAAACAAGTGAACAAAATAAAGTATCAAGGAAGGAATTCACATCAAGCTAAACAACATGCAAACCCAAATAATAAGCAGCGAATAAATTAAAATGATTAAAACTTAAATTGAAGTGCAAGTGTTACGTACCACTCTACCACACACAGCAATGATAAATCAAACGAAAACTGGGTAGAGGGGCGAGCAGATATAACTGTCTGGTCTTCAAGAACTTCTACAATATAAAAATAATCTTGCCTGTAACACAAAATAGAAGCATTGATCTAACTTCAAATTTATGAAACCTTCAAGGACAAACGTAGATTTCACATTTTAAAAATAAAAATAATCACCCTTACCTTGCAGACAAACCAAGCAGCATCATAAAATCCTTCACGTGGAACCAAATTAAGGGAAAACAGAGAGTATATCTCGAGTAGAAGTGCCTGTATACAAAATAGTAATGTCTTGGTTATAGTTTAAATAGAATACAATATTCAAGTCAATCTCAAGCTTGGAAGTATCAACTCAACATACATCAAAAACTTCTTTGACGAAAGGCATAAGTGGAAGAACACCAGCAACGAAAAACGATTCAATGAATAGGTAAGAGAAGGCTAGACTTTTCAACTGAAACAAACAATAAAGACAACAAATTAGATAAGTGAGGAAAAGCAAATGGAATGGATATGGATAACCCTAGTGGCCAACATCCCTTCAAGTTAAGTAAAAAAAACTGTTATAGAACTACTTTGGCTTTGAGAAATACTATTGAAAAGTTATCATTTGTACAACCGTTCGACCAAAACCGCATTCACATTAACAATAAAAACAAATATGTATGGTTCGTCTTGTCAGACACAAACAGACACATAGATGGCGCGAATCGAAATCGAGAAACATGATGGAAGCAGAACAACAAACAGGTTAGGAAAACGCTATCGACCTACAACACAGCTGCTTTAACAAGTTAAATTTTAAAAAAGTCCCTTGCAAGTAAAGTGTTTTTTTCCTCAAATCTCTCTTTTACTTAAATTAATACTAGAGAGAACTTGAGAGAGAGAATTGTATCCGAATAAGTATGGAAGACAACAAGTTTCTGCTAGCTATGTTGGTAGCCCTTCGACCGGAAGTATTTGAAGTACTCTAGTTTTAAAACGTAAAGGTAGTTGGAAAGACAGCACAAGCAGCACTCCTGGAAGGTAACGGTCGGCGAAACATTTCCAAAATCAAGCAGAGGTAACTTTAACAATTATAAGTGAAACTCTATGTTATCGAAACCTGTAGATAACTACCTAAGGCATATAATTATTGTGTGTATCCGCATGTACAGACATGGAGTTCAAAGCAAGATTGGCCAAAACTATCAAACGTGGTTTGGAAAGATTTCCCGACAGTACTGTCTCGCCCGAAGATTTGTCACAGTTCATAGTTGATAATGGATTAGGGGAACACCTGATCGATTTAATAGATATTCCTGATTTGACCCCATTTAATGGCATTGATCTTTTTGAGGCACGAGCAGTTCGGTCAGCTATCTTAAATGAATTCAGCAAACCGGGTAAGAGTAACTATAAAATGGCCTACGCAACAAGGTTAACTGGCGTTAATGTAAACTTCCAAAAATAGGTGGATCTGCAGACCAGAGTAGTGGCATTGGTGACCAGAGCACCACTCAGCAACCAGCACCACCAGCCACACAAGCCACAGGTGAACAAGTAAGTGTTTTATAGCAGCACATTGTACAGGCGGGGTAGGTGGTGCTTTGGTACTGAGCACCCCCCCCCTTTTTCCCCTGCCTTTTCCCTTCTCACATAAACCAGGAACGTTATTTTCATCTTGGTGTAGAAGTTTCATTTTATGTTTCATTTCAGAATGCAACCACAACAGTCTCAACACCACCACTCATACCAGAATTTAAATTAGACATGTCAAGGATTTATTATTTAAAAGATAAAAAGTTCTTTGACAAAGGTGGTATACCAGACAAAAAACTGTCCATAGAAATAGTCAAAGAGTGTCGTTCACAAGTTATATCAAAGGTGCCAGAAGGTGCAAGAAAAGAAACAATGTCCAAAGTTTTCTTTCAATTGGCTGACAAACATTCATCCTCTTTTATGGTGAAACTTCCAAATGGGAAGTTGTTACCTGGCATCTTGTTGAAAAGGCTAAAAGATGGGATGAATAATGAGATAAGGCCAGATCGAAACGCACGCCAGAGAAACCCCACCCAACTACAATATGAGAAACCCCGTGGAAAGTATACATATGGATGCATCAGGTGGCGGATTCAAAACATTCCAGAAAATGAAACGGATGAGAGCATCTTACAGAAAAAGGAAGAAATGAAAACTATGTATGAGGACACAAGACCGACACGGTGGAATACTGATCTAATAGAGCAGCATATGACTGCCACATATAAAAATCAAAGGGATCTCATCAATCAGAATATTGAGGAAGCAACGAAAGAACAAAAGAAAAAAAGATATGGGAAAAGGCAAAAACAGGTAAGATTCATGCTGCTGCAATATTTTCCAACACATTTTGGACAGAACTGAAATGAAATTTTAAATGCTCACTTTTTTCTAAACCTCTAGGCATCTAATTCAGAGGCGGCAGAGGATGAACCCCAACCAGCAACAGTCACTGTCACTGAGATTAAGAAAGAATGGCCATTCCTTTTTACATACCTTGGCATGAAGCTACATTTTAAATTGTTAACCGAGTGTGACGCAGAAAATTTATCAAGTTTTGTGAAGAATTCAGCCGATGATATGCTAAAGTACTTCAAACATATGAGAAATTTAAAACAGGAAGTTATATCCAAGAATACTTTTAAACGGTACAGAAGGGCTTCTCAAGCAGCAGAGGAAGACCAACAGAAACTTGCAGATATCAAACTAAAGGCTATCACCATATTGCTAGCTCACCATCTTGAAGAAGACTACAAGGAGCTGATAGTACTTGATGAGGTATGTTGAAAAATTGAAACAGCCAAAAATTGAATAATTCTTTCTAAAATACTTGGTTGAGAGTGGTAATAACAAAACATTTTGTCTCTGCAGACATTCTGTGTGGACTCTCCTGGAGAAACACAGATCCCACAATATCCAGGGCTTATTGCTGAAGGTATCTGCAAAACAAGATAGACAAATTGCAGTAATCAGAAAACAATATTATTTAATAATGCACTGTTTGTTGTTTTTCTTTTATAGGAAAGACTCTATTTGAAGCCGACAAATACCACATTTGTTCAGATACAAAGATATTGGCCTCAACAAATAGCTTCATGGAAGCAATAGGGATGGTCTTCATGACTTACTTTATCTTGAATCTTAACTATCACCCGAAGACTCCAGCTACATTGGAATACCTACAAAGGTAAGAGGCAGATGTCTAAATTATCCACCCAAAATCTTGAAAGTTTTCACAATATCTTCATTTCCTGTCTCTTTCAGGCATGCTTATGCAATCAGCCCTGATGATGGCCACAAGAGACCAGTGGAGGTTCAAGTGGAGGGCAAGATTAAGAAAGCTAGCACCAATATTGTGCATCCACGAGTGGCAAAGCTGAAAAATGAAATTACTCTTTTTAATCAGCACAGCTCATCTGAGAGCGAACAGGAAGAGCAGTGAGCAACTAATTAATTGCGTTCAGAGTGATGGTTCAGAAAACCAAATCACATTTTGTCAAAGAAAAAATTATTATTTTATATCAACTTTAATATCAAAACAACAACTAATGAGAGGTGGATTCCGGTAAAGTGATTAGAGTAATCAAAAGATTTAATTAGAACTGAAATTTGTAAATATAGAGCTTATTATCATCTTCCTTTCATAAAGCTCAACTTTGCAATGGATTGTTTCACACCAAATTTGTTCAGAAAGATACCTGAAGTAAAAGCAGATAAAATTTAAGTTAATGCTTACCACCAATGTAATAAAAAAAATAGTATGAAATCAAATAAACTTCAACCGACTTACCTCAATAACTCCCAGCAGTTCCGTCGGTTTTATGTTGGATGGGAATCAGGAGACACCACCATGCACATCCAGAAAAAAGTTGTGATACCACATGATGAATTTGAATTGTTGATAATGTCACCTATACCTGATGTAAAAACAACTGCAGTTATAATGGTACTATACAAGGAAACTCAAAGGATCAGTAACCAAAAAGTTAGGTTAAACACACTGTTTACCTTCAAACTTAATGTGAAGTTCAGTGAACAGTTTTCCATGATCTTCTTGAAGTTCAACATTTTTTAAGGTAAAAAATATAGACCTCACGCATGGCAGACTGATAACCGGAGATGCACATTTTAATTGCAATTAATTGCAAATTAATTGCATCAATTGATGCAATTGGAGTAGATGAACAAATTTACAACATAGAAAGGTTCACTTGTGTTAAAAAAAATTTACTACATCTAACACACAATAGCAACTGATCACCTGTACCTAATTTGTTCTCGGCATCGCTATTTTGGTTAATCTTAACGATTTGAAGTATATTGGGTGCCTACAGTCAGAAGGTTGCCATGCTGACGTGAAAAGCAACAAGCAGACGAACCTAAACACTGCAGTGATCTGGAAATTTTTCATAGGGGTTCTTATCACTGCTAGGGTAAACACAACACTTAGTGTTTATTTGCAGTCTAGAACAAACCGCGATATTTGTTGACTGAGTGTATTTCGGTTTAGTGAAAACATGAAATTAGAGCTTACTTATACTGTGACAACTAACTTGTGTGGCTGCAAAATGTCCAGTACTTTGATTTCTTTGGTTTTGAATACATTGGTGGTGGTGTAAGGCATTGGAAAATCTTATCTTTCCTTTGGTCAATGTTGCTGAATGAGGTTAGAAGTGACAAGTAAGTTTTACAGTTTTATTACTTTCTTTTAGCTCCTACCATACAGTATATACTAGAAAGTAGTGATGATTTTCCACTAGTATAGAGAGATACTAGTGTGTGAGTTGCACTGCTCCAATAGTACAACTAATCTTTTTTATTTATTGAATAAACAAAGCCCTAAGAGCAAGGCTTCCTAGTGGGCAATCTTTAAACCAATCATTTTGATGAATACAGCAAAATGTTTCAAAAGTGCAAAATAAGCCTTGTCTCGACATTGTAACATTTAGATATTATTTCAAATCTCACCAAGATTTAATTGTACCGAATCTGTGACGAATGGTTCATCTTACTGGGATGACAATTGATGCGTCACAAAGTGACGAATAGTGGATCACATTGTGACGACTGCTTTATCTCAACCCTTGTGACGAACAGATTGTATCAAAATTTGTCGTCAAATGACGATTTGGTTTAACAGTGTGTAGTCATTGAAAAATGACTGGTGCAAAATAAATAATTACGAACATATCTGTATGAAAGAATCACGAAAGTTAAGCTGGTAGTTGAAAAGTTAACGAGTTAACTTAAATCCATTTGAAGTCAACCATATCATATGAGCCTTTATCGTCCCCTATTGAAAATGTTCTCGCCCGAATTGAGTCCGGAGACGGAGCAGCCCTATTTATGTCCGACCGGACCAGCCCGGTGACTGTTCCGGGACGTCCCAATTCTCGACAAATTTACGAGCAGTCCGAAAAATCTGCCCCCTCCGTCAGTCTGGTCCGATTTTAGTCCGGTCTACTCCGTAACCCGCCCGAAAAAATAAATACGGCGGCCTGAGCTAGGATTCGTTCCCATACCTCTCGGACTTACCCCATGTGATGTTGACGCCTTAGACCGCTGAGCTAACCTGGTTCTCTGGGAAGGATCTGTCCGGCAGGCCTCTTGACTCAAACCGCGAGCAGCGCGCAAATGCCGCTGTTATAGGAGAACGGTGCGGCCTAAAAAGATGCGGTTTTCGGCTAACTGAATACAGCTCTGCAGGGCTTCTTACCTAATAACATGTTTTTGAGAATAATTAATTTTTCTTTTCCACTCCGGAAAAAAGTATTTTGCTATAGCTGTTTGTATAAATTTTTTCCATATAGTTTTAGTTACTCCGATTAGATTAAGAGAAAACTGAAATAGCTACTAGGAAAGGGTAACTTAAGCATTGATTTTGCAGAACTGCATCGCAGCATTGCAGCTATTCGAAAAGGGTGTAGTTGGCAAATTTCTGCATCTTTTTCCTCTGTATTTTCTTTCAAGCGTACACAGAACACATTTTACGTCATATAGTTCGTACCTCATTAATTGTTTGTATCTGTTGACAATGTACAATATTCTGATGTAAACAGTCCTAGAGTCGGCAAGTTTCGACTTAGGGAGGCACGCGGTTATAACTTAAATATTTTTCGGGCTGGGGCCGGACAGTCCGACAAATTTCGGATTTTAATCGGGCAGTCTGATGGGTATCGGACGGTCACCGGGCTACCCGAAACCATTCGGATTACGCCCGGGCTGTCCGAAAGGTATCGGGCCTATATCGGATCGCTCCAGTCCGGGGACGGACTTAAAACGGGCGAGTCCGAACACAAACCGGACTAGTTGTGGAACCGTCCGAGGCATATCGGACTTAAATGGGCCCGTCTCGGCCGGGTTTTGGAACTTTTCGCTTCTAATAGGGTCAGCTCTTTCTCTAGTAGTGACTTTGTGCACGACATAATGAGGATTCTTTCCTTTTTTAATTCTTTCCCTCATTGCTTTTAAGATTTTATCATTCAGTGTTATTGTTCCTGTTGGCTTCCTTTTTTTTGCCCTCGAAATTTCCAACAGCCCATTTGTATGAACCATTGAAGCCCTGTTCGTCTCTAATCTGGATATCCAGTAATTTATATTCTGTCAGGAGCTTCAGATCTCGTTATGAGTAGGATTGCATATCATTGAGTTGAGTTGATTTATGAGACTATCATCCTGAAAGTAAAGTATGCAATATTAGTTTATGTTATTACTGTCAATTATTAGGTTGTCATCATCATTTGTAAATATTACCTCTTTGCTCAATGTCTTGTGTTTCTTGGTTTGGTGTTCCTTGTGGGGGCTGAGTCCGTTTTTGTTTTCTCTGAAAGGAAGTTGAAGATTAATAATATTATGTATATGTACTTGTAAGCATTCTTCAAAGTGTTGTGTATAGTTTACCGTTGAGTCTGAACTCTCAACACTGGAATCGTTTGATGAACTGCTGCTTGAGCTTGAAGTTGGTGGAGGTGTTTTCATTTTCTTCTGTTACTTCTTCTTTCTTCTTGTTGATTCCGCTTTCTTGATCTTCTCAGTTTTTTCTTCCTTTTTCTTTAGTTTTTCCTCTAGCGCCTTAATTCGTTCTCGAATTATTTTACATTCTGATGAGATTTCTGGAGCGCTATCTTCACTGCTATTTTCCTCCTTAGGTGTATCATCACATACCTTTGCAATAAATGTGTGTTTGTCAAAAATTTTGTAAAGAATCAAAATTTAGAAGGTGCAATAGTGATACTGTTGTGAACTGGTGGAAGGACAAAGGAGGCAAGTTGGTTGGGACTTTGACTGTTTATTGAGGTAGCGTAGCTTCTACAATAGACAGCGCAAGACTGGGCGCTGAGGGGTCGGCGCGAGCCGCTTATAAAGGGGATTCCAAGAAGAAGTCAAGAATAAGAGGGGCTGATTGTTAGGGTGGGGGTACCAAAGGAATCAGAGGAGTATAGGCAGTAGTCTCCTCGCACCTCCGCGGGTGGAGTGAAGGGGGTGATGGTTGTTGTTGTCGTTGGTGGCGTTGAGTCCGTAAAGTTTTTGGTGAAGTAGGCTGCGGCAGGGCGGGGGGG